AGCTGACAAGAAGCAAATAAAGGACTAAAGATGTTTCACTTCCTAAAACATTTAAATATGCTTAAGTATGATGACTTATTAACACAGCTACAGGAGGTAATAAAATAATTAATAATCAGTAATGAAATGAAAAACAGGTTGATGTTCGCAGAATGCAATTTGAAGTGTGCTGTGATTATTTTAGTATTAATCAGCCATGTTATTTGTTACAGGAATAAGATGACTACAAGTGACATGACATTTTCAACCTGTCTAGCTTTTCTGCCCCAGAGCTTGGAAAGTGAATTTGTCTTGCCTGGCCAAAGGCATCTGAAAACCTTAGGCTGAAATAGAGTAAAGTCAGGCAAATACGAATGCTGTGGGTGGCGATAGCAAGCTACTGCTCCCATTAGTGTGATCCAGAGCCCTAGAGCATCAACTTCGGCTCCTCTGGACTCAGATCAGGCTTTTCAGGTAGTGCAGAGGCTTGGAAGCCTAGAGCCTGGGCCTTTTTCCAGCTGCCTATGGAGTGTTCTGCCCTGGTCAGAGCTGGGAGCCTGGGGTAGCCTTTGGGTAGCCCATGTGTGTGCTCTGGAGTGCTCTGCTCCTGAGATATCAGAAGAAATGGTTCAGCCTGAAGTTTACTGGGCTGTACTTTATAAATAAATGTTTCAGGCAAGATCTTGACAATCAAACAAAACAAAATGTGCTTATTGCTGTCAGCTGCAAAGTACCCCCAGCACCTTTATGTGTGAGGAGTTCCATGTCCTACCGAAACAGAAGGAAATAGTGGAAAAACACAAGGAAACCTCACATTTGCTTTGAAAACTTGTCCTATTTAAACCATCTATGTTGCAAAGCAATTCCTGCATTTATGGCCCAGTTTGGGCACAGGGAGACTGAACCATTGCACAAAGCTGTCCCTGCACTGCTCTGCTGAGAAAAAAGTTGTGAAAGCTGGCCTAGAGATAAACATGTTCCCTGAATATTGCATCCTGACAAGTTCTTCCACAACACACATAATGGAAAATAATAGCATTTTTGTTAAATATTCTTGTCTTCAAGCCTCTCTGTTGAGGAGCTAATGGCTGAAAGTCTGGATGTGCTCTGCTCCTGAGACATCAGAAGAAATGGTTCAGCCTGAAGTTTACTGGGCTGTGCTTTATAAATAAGTGTTTCAGGTGAGATCTTGACAATAAAACAAAACTGGGAACTACTGGTTCTAGCTATGATCTGCTGGAGATTTAGTTCTCTGCACCTGCTCCTTTGCTAGAAATTTGGGTTGGAAGCACTACCCCTCTGACAGGCCACTCTGAAGGTGACCATCACTACTATCTGCAGTACTTGAGATATGCAAGGCATCTGCCACTTGCCATTCTAGAGAAAAGTCACTTTAATGACCTCCAAGCAGCTCTGGTCTCTGACATACTTGTATCCTGTAATTCAAAGCCCAGCAACTGCAGTTGCTGTTGCAGCAAACATGATACTCCTTCTTCATGCCAGCCAAAGTTCCCCTCTGCAGTATGCTAGAGACTTGATCCTACCAGAGAATAGCGACAAAGTGTTTTACACTGAGACACCTGTACCCTGAGCAGAGCCAAAGGCTGCGAACAATGCAATCTTGCATTAACAAGCAGGCAACGTCACTGCCCGGTTACTGTCAGCTGCTGGTGTAACCTTTGGCATCACTTACCCGTCCCATATCTTCATCCAGATTATGTGGGGCTGAGCCCAATGATCTTGTGCTCCCTGGATCACCACATGAAGACTCAGAGGTTGGATGGAGTCAATAATCAGCCCAACAGATAGTGTTGAGAGAAAGAGGGTGAAATGTGTTTAAAGGATGATACATGGGCTCCAGTGACGATGCTGAGAACATAGATCCCTTGGAGTGCTATGGAGAGCTACTGCAAGTGCAGTAGGACAAAGGACAGACACATGGGCTGCAGAGCATGGTCAGCAAGGAAGAGTCCCAGCAAAAACGTATTTACCATACTGAGGCAGAAAAAAGAGAGATGGGTCTGAACCACCCCATGAGTCTGTAAGGCTTCAAACTTGAAGCCTTGAAAATGGTGGCCTGTCAAGGTTGGTTCTAGTTGCTCTCTGTTGGGAAGGAAGAGACTGAAACAAAGATGCCACAAATGGAAAGAAACAAAGGAGAAAGAAGAGTGATTCCCAAGTGACCTGGATCAAGGGGCAAACTTAAGAATCGCTGAAGAGTGGGCTGGACAAAAAGCTAGGCTTTACTCAGTCAGTGGAAAGGCACCTAGTGCCAATGGCAAACATGCCCATCACTTCCAAAATACAAGAAAGAAAACCATGATGACCATATCAACAGAGAGGTTTGGAGGATGCTTTTTGGTGACTTTCTCTTAGTGAAAAGACGTGAAAAGTACATAAAAAGCCGGGACCTAACCTTCTCACCATGCACTACATGATTATTGTCTTAAGGATGAGAAGAATAAAGATCCAGGACTATTCCTCCATCCAAAGTGTGCTCTTGCTTGTTTCATGTGTCTGACTGCAGCTACTTGTAATGTTTTTGTTGCTTCTTACCACCCAGGATTTCAGGGCAATGTCACACAAGCACAGGTGCAGAGCTAAATCAGATTTTATATGTAGATATGACACTGCAAGTGGAAGTGGGTTTAATTAAGTGTCTTCCAAAGATCCAAAGCATCTTCTGTCTTGAGGAACGGACAACACTTTTTTTGCAGGGAACTCCCTGGTAAATGTCATCTTTGCAGACTTCATGAGTTTCCCAGTGGTGAAGCCACCAACAATGTCTCTCCAGACCGTCATTGTAACAGCTGCTCAGGAAGTGACCTTGTTGGCTCCAGAGATGGCCATCCCTGTGGTTGGGATGGATGGGATGAATGGATGGATGGAACTCACTCTGTTCAGACACAGCCCTTCTGTCCTGAAGTGGATCTTTTTACCAAGATATTGTGAGGATGTTGGAGACAGGGAGCTTTGCTGGCTACTGAAACCACTCATCTTTCAATCTTTTTGGCCTCTCACTTCTCCCCAACTACTGCCATCTCTTACCTTCATCCTGATGATGTTTTTTTTTAAAAAAATCGTCTTTATTAACAAGTTTTCCACATTGGATCCAGATACCTCTCTTCAATATGATTTGCACCTCTAGGTTGCTTGCAGCCACTCTACCATACAAAAAGAGAGGAAATCCTTCATCCACAATTAGCACTTACTGGTGGCAGGTAGGAAAGGCTTGGAAAATCTTTGGGTCCAAAAAGCATTAGTCAAATCTTACCCGAGTGCATGCTAAAGGGAGTTTTTGGTGGCATCTATGGTGATACCTGCCTGCCTTTCGTTAGAGGAGAACTGCAGAGAACGTGCAGAGTAGCTCCCATCTAGAACCAGAACCCAACTGTGGTTATAGCCAGAACATCATCATGATCGTTTTTAATGCAGAGATCAGCAATTCACCAAGATCAGCCCATCATGATAGATTCTGCCTGAATAAATGCTCTGTTCCCATCTAAACTCATGGGCTGGCTAAAGGGGAGAAAGAAAGAATGGAGCCAGCCTGGAGGAAGTGGACACACTGGGAGTGCCTGCCAGCAACCAGCAGCTTTTGCAAGGAAGTGATTTCTTTCAAATGGCATGGGAAGCATTGCTGCTGCCTACATTTGGGGTGAAAGAAGGACTGATGCTTATTGATTTTTCTTCATGTTCATGCAAAGAAACAATCAAACCTGCAGTAAGGATCCTTGCCATCACATCAATAAAGAACATTCTTTTTGGCTGGGGGGAAGGCTCTGTAGAGACCAGGGCTCAGCCTGGGCTTGTCCCCGCTAGTTTTACTCCTGGTACAAACACTTTAAAATGCCAATAGTTATTCTTCTGCCTCCTGTTTCTTTTGTAGTTTCAAACACATGGCTTGTCAATTGTTTCAAGAAGAGCTAATTAAAGGCTGAAACTGAGCCAATGAGGCACCTTCATTGCGTAGCAAATTCACTGCTTGGAAATAATTCAATGGAATAAAGATGAAAAGTAAATATGGTGACACATTGTATTCCCGAGCTCCCTGAAAGCCCACCACTCTTCAGGGAGGTCCCTGAAGTGCACATACCAGGAGTGGCTTAGCTTTCTAGGATAAAGATCAGGGTTAGCTTGAAAAAGCAACCACAAATTTGGAGTCCTTCCTGATTCTCCAGCCTGATACCACTTGCAGCAAACTCACAAAGAGCATTCCTTCTGAAACATTCCTGGTCCCGCCTTGTTTTCTTGTTTGATTACCACGTGCACAAACATGCTCTTACCCTATTGTTTCAGACTGTTAGTCTTGCAGTGCTGGGTGAACGAATAAATTAAGGAGCATGCTTCTTTTATGACAAACTGAAGCTTTTGAGACTTGGCTCCTTTTTCGGCTGTGCCCAGTTCACTTAATTGCCCAAGGCTGTGTGAATCCTGACTTTGTGCTGATTTCCCTGTCCCTGAAAGGGACATGGTTGCTTTGAGGGCCTGTTCTGATCCTTTGCTCATACCAATAACCTGGGAAAGGCTTGTCTCATCTCTAGAGGCCAGATCAGCGTTATTATTCATGACGGAAGGGGAAGACTATCAACTGGCCTCCTCTGGAGCCTTTCTGCCATGAATCTGTTGCTCAGACCACAGCTGCAAAAGCAAACAGATAGAGAGAGTCCAAGAAACACACGAGAGAGGCATTCAACACCCAGTGATGGCTGTGGTTCTCCACAAGGCCTCTGTTCTCCTCCTTTGACCTCCATACCTGAGAGATGACTGGCTATTTTCTTCCCCAATTCTGCCAGCTATTTGCATACAGCCCCACAACAATTTTAAACAACATATTAAAATGCAAAGGGGAAAAATACAAAGGCTCCAGAACCAAGAACAAGGACAAAACTGATTTTCAAATTGATTCAATAAATATAAACAAGGACCAGCATGCTACAGTAAGCAATTTCTCTGTGCAGCTGAGATTAAATCAGTTAGCAGGGAGGGGGCATAAGCAAGGGTAATGGTGGCTGTCAGGAAGGAACCTGCCAGAGAGGCTGATCCTGAGCAAGAGGGGAAAGCGTGGGTGATATCAGGCATAATTTACTGCCAGTTGCTGTTTCTGATTGCTTGCTTCCCACCCACCCTCTTCGCCCGAGCTTACAAAGCCGCAGCTGCCGGCAGCTGTGGGCAACAGCACAAGCATTAGACCTCCCAATCACTGCACCATGCTTACCCATGCCAGGGGAGACCTACAGTCAGGGATACCAGCCGCAGGGGACACAGCGGAGTGGGCCCCTCTCCATTGGTGAGGCTGGTGTCCTGTGGCGTACTTGGGTTTGTGTGGCATGCTAGCAACATGCAGCGGGGCATTTATGGGTGGGACAGAAAGAAAGGGAAGAGGAGACTACTGGCAGAGCAAGACCAAAACATGCAGGCATTCGCATTTCCATGGGCAAATGGTCATGCAGAAGGACAGAGGGAAAAGTGAGAAAAACACCTGGGTGTTTTTCTCCAGCTAAGCACAGCGACCAGCCCTCCAAGCCCTTCCTCCCTCCACCCTCAAGAACCACTCCAGTTGAGACCTGAGCTGGGGAACCCAGTAAGTAACATCCAGCCTCCTGGAGTGCTGCGGGGCTGCATGTTACCAACTCCTGGCCCCGGCGCAGCTCTCTCGTGCAGCGTTTCTTCAGCACCCCCTCCTCCCTGGCCTTGGCCACAGGGCTGACCTTCATCTCTTGGGCCTCCAGCACCTTCTTGCCATCCCAAGCCCAGCTGCGCTTGGTGAAGTAGTTGACAGTGGCAAATTCGATCAGCGCAGAAAACACAAAGGCGTAACAGACGGCTATGAACCAGTCCATGGCCGTCGCGTACGCCACTTTAGGTAACGAGTTTCTTGCGCTGATGCTTAGTGTGGTCATGGTGAGGACAGTGGTGACACCTGTGGAAACACAGCAGGAGACAAGGGTGTGAGACCACACACTCATACTCACCCAGTTTCTGCTCAAACCACAGCTGGCATTTCCATCATGTAAATTTAGGAGCCATCCCCTAAGCCATGTGGCCCTTATTGCTTCTATAATTAAGGCAGCCTTGCTCAGCACAAGTCTAGAATAATGAAACAGTCCAGGTTGGGAGGGAAGCCAGCTTGTCCAACCCCTGCTGGAATCAGGGCCAAATTCAGGCTGCTCAGGGCCTTCTCTGGTTCAGTTTTGAATATACCAAATTCATTTAATCAATGGCAAACACCTGCGTTAGGATGAGATTAATCTTCCCCAAACGCCATCGACGAGATCTCTGCTCACTGTAAAAGAGTCCTAGCTCATAGGTAGGCACCCACACTCAATTCCTTGTCTGCTAGTAGGGTAAGTTGTGTGATGCTAGACCCAGTTCCCTCATGTAGAATAGGGCCACGGAGAATCACAGAATGACAGAATGGTGGGGGTTAGAAGGGACCTCTGGGGATCATCTAGTCCAACCTCCCCGCTAAAGAAGGTTCACGTAAGCAGGTTACACAGGACTGCATCCAGGCGGGTTTTGAGTATCTCCAGGGAAGAAGACTCCACAAGCTCCCTGGGCAGCCTGTTCCCGTGATCTGTCACCCTCAGAGTAAAGAAATCTTTCCTAATCTTCAGATGGAATTTGCTGCACTCCAGTTTGTGCCCATTGCCCCTTGTTCTGACACTGGGCACTACTAAAAAGAGCCTGGCCCCATCCTCTTGACACTCGCCCTTTAGATATTTATAAGTGTTGATAAGGTCCCCTCTCAGTCTTCTCTTCTCCAGGCTAAAGAGCCCCAGGTCTCTCAGCCTTTCCTTGTAAGAGAGATGCTCCATCCCCTAATCATCTTAGTAGCCCTCCGCTTGGCGTCCTCTAGTAATTCCCTGTCTCTCTTGAACTGGGGGGCCCAGAACTGGAAACAGGACTCCAGATGTGGCCTCACCAGGGCAGAGTAGAGGGAGAGAATAACCTCCCTCGACCTGCTGGTCACACTCTTCTTAATGCACTCGAGGGTACCACTGGCCTTCTTGGCCACAAGGGCACATTGCTTGCTCATGGTCAACTTGTTGTCTACCAGGACCCCAGCCTATACTGGTGCATGGGGCTGTTCTTTCCCAGATGCAAGACTCTACACTTGCCCTTGTCGTAATTCATTACATTTCTCCCCGCCCAGCTCTCCAGCCTGTCCAGGTCTCACTGAATGGCAGCACAGCCTTCTGGGGTGCCAGCCACTCCTCCCAGTTTTGTGTCATTAGCAAACTTGCTGAGGGTACACTCTGTCCCTTCATCCAGGTCACTGATAAACATGTTGAACAGGACCAGACCCCATATTGAGCCCTGGGGAACACCACTAGCCACAGGCCTCCAACTGGGCTCTGCACTGCTGATGACAACTCTCTGAGCTCTGTCCTTCAGCCAGTTCTCAATGCACCTCACTGTCCACCCATCTATCCCATACTTCCTAAGCTTACCTATGACAATGCGATGGGAGACAGTGTCAAAAGCCTTGCTGAAGTCTAGGCAAGAAACATCCACTGCTCTCCTCTCCTCCACCCAGCCAGTCGTGCCATCATAGAAGATTATCAGATTGGTCAAGCATGACTTCCCCTTGGTGAATCCACACTGACTACTCCTGATAAACTTTTCCTCCACATGCTTAGAGATGACATCCAGAATGAGCTGTTCCATCACCTTTCCGGAAATGGAGGTGAGGATGACTGGTCCTTCTTCTTGCCCTTTTTGAAGACTGGAGTGACTCTGTCTTTCCTCCAGTCCTCAGACACTTTTCCTGTCCTCCATGACCTGTGAAAGATGATGGAGAGTGGCTTGGCAGTAACATCTGACAGCTCCTTCAGCACTCGTGGATGCATCCCATTGGGGCCCATGGATTT